CTGTACAGAGACTGATGTGACTGGGGGGACATTAGAGTGTAAGCTCCTCTGTACAGAGACTGATGTGACTGTGGGAGGACATTAGAGCGTAAGCTCCTCTGTACAGAGACAGATGTGACTGGCTCAGTGTTCTCTGTACAGCATTGTGGTATATATATATATGTATAATAATAACAGTGTGACAGGCTCAGCGTGGCGGCGGGGGCCCCGAAATTTCTGAAGGCTGCCCTGGGTGTGTGTGTGTGTGTGTGTATGTGTGTATATATATATATATATTGTGAGATTAGCTTTCAATGGTAGCACATTAATGACGAAGTCCATGTGTGTCAGTCACATATATACGTATGTGACTAACACACCTCTAATTCATTCATTGGTGTAAATTGGAAGGTCTTTCTCCCATCCCCTTTTTTCTGAGGTCTTGGTATGTTGATCACATTACACTATTCCTCACTTTGTCTTCCTCTTCCTCCTTATGTAGGTATTGAGAGGGCTGTTATTTTATAAATTTCTCTTTCCCTGAGGGCTAAGGATTATGGGTGTCCTACTTCTACCCCAATTGTTCACTGGTTGGTCTTTCATTGAGACATACAGGAGACATAACTACCCTGCTCTGGAACACCAGATTCTTTCTTGGTGCCTTTCCTTGTTAGTAGCAATTTCAATATCCCCCTTTTCTTTTTTTTCCCATCTAGTCTTCAGGCATTAATTCCTTCAGATTTTCTTCTAGTAAGATTTTTCACATGCTTTAGATTTCTCAGTGGCTGTTGCCCACCCCTCAGTTGGATTGCTTTTGGACATCCCATATATCCAAGAATAACTACATTCCCTTGTCCCTCAATAGACAATAAAGAAAATGTGTACTTATCGTAAAAAGCTTTTTCTTTAAATGCCGTTGAGGGACATGGGTCCCACCCATCTATGTTGCTGGCCTTAGGCACTGTTTTGCTCACAAAACTAAGGCATGATGGTCAGAGGCAGGGTTTTACAGGGGATGGCTTAGTTTTCCAGTATGCCATTGTCCAAACCTCCTGAAGGTGGCAGTATAACCCAAAGGTACAAAAGTAACTGTATTACTTTGTCCCTCAATGGACTTCAACAAATAGATTTTACAGGGAAAACATTTTTGCAAAACATCACCAAAGGCAAGCACTTTTTGTAAAAAAAAAAAGGATAAAAGATATATGTATTATTTTGTTATCTTAAATAGTGATATTATTGCTGAATAAACAGGGCTATAGTGGACATGTAAATATTGCTCTTGGCCAAAGGGTGTGTACAGGTGTGAGAGGTGTACTGGTTAAACAAATGTTGTTCAGCAGTTCAATACTCCCATTGGATCCCGTTTTTTAGGGTTATTCACTAAAGGGTGAAGAGTTTGGAGAAGTGAACAATCTAGGACAACATAACTGATTTGGAAGAATTCTCCAATTCGGCTCACTTCCCAGTTCAGTTATGTTGTCCTAGATTGTTCACTTCTCCTGCCTTCTCAAAACTCTTTACCCTTTAGGGAATAAACCTGTTTGTCTCTCTATAAACATTTACAGGGTTATTCACAAAAGGGTGAAGAGTTAGGAGAAGGCAGGAGAAGTGAGCAATCTAGGACAGCATAGCAGAATTTCCCAATTCAGCTATTTTGGCCTAGATTGTTCACTTCTCCTGCCTTCTCTAAAATCTTCACCTATTTGTGAATAACCCTATTAGAGCCAGTATTCAGTTTGCATTGACTTCTGCCTCCTGCTAGTGCACACTTTTTTTATAAATAAAATAAAAGTTTCAGATGTCAGTTAAGTGTAGCAATAAAGTTGCAGTTAAAAAAAATCACGTTTATTTCTATAACATGACTTAACAAACGTTTTGCTTTATTTTATTTTTTTCAGTAATTCCATTAAGCTGGTAAATCTTTGCTCCATTTTTATCAGTACTTGGCTAACAGCTGCAGGTTTTATTCATTTGGTGAGTATTGCTTATTATTATTTTAACCCAAAACAACTGCTACCTATATTATTACTGATATTATTTAATTATATTTGTTATTGCTATTTTAATGTTCTTCTCTATAATTAACCAAAATGCATTAAAACAGAAAACCAAGTGCCATGCTCTTTCAATTCCCAACTGAGCTTCCAATCAATGAATATATTAATAACATATTTACATAACTGCAACTAATATTACAGCACTTTACAGGCATTTATATTAGAAGTTAAAGAAAAATATCACCCATGACGATTAAATGTCTGTGAAGGTTATCATTTATCCAGGTCATGGTATATCTGTAAAAAATAAGTCAAGGCAACTGGACTTGCAGTATTTTTCTTGAAGACGTTTCATTAGTCATGAGACCAGCTTTCAGCTTTTCTGAATTGAGAAAGCTGGTTGGATGACTAGTGAAAAGTCTTCAAGAAAAATACAGCAAGTCCAGTTGCCTTGACTTATTTTTTACAGACATAACCATTAAAGTCATTCAAAATATGCCACTTACTTGTAATGATCTTTTATCCAAGCCCAACGAAGTGTGCATTCTCTTTTCTCTCTCACTTTTTTTCTGCTGCAAATGCCATCCCATGTCACCATCTTCATTATCTTTTCATTGAGAGCTGGCCGTCTCTTTTGGTTCTTTCAGTCAGCCCCTGATTATACAGCGCCAGATAAAACTTGCTAAGTTTTGGGAAAGCTGATGCCTCCTAGAATTTGTGATGTCGGTGTCCTAGGAGGCTGCAGGAGGAGGCTTAACATTATGTAGGCGAGAATGGAGGCAGAGGGGAATCAAATGTAAATTAAAACTATAAAAGCAATTTTTTTTAAAAGATCCCTAGATTGTGGAGGGGGCAGGGATAGAATGCTGCAAAGTGTGATTTTTGCGTGAAGGTCCACATTAAATATAGGATGACCTTTTCTTTTTTTTTTGCTTAGTCTCTTGTTAAGGGAGCCATTTACCTTGAAATCAGTCAGAAATGGGAATAAAAGCTGCATGATGTACAGTTCTTTCTGGAGCAGTTCCTCTTATCTGTAACACCATTTAGTTACCTGGCAGATGTGTGAAAGGTGGCTGGAACTTGAATGAAAGAAAGCAAGAATAATGTATAGGATTGTGAGTGATTAAACAAACAAGACACCAGCCCAGTACAGAAAAAAACCTCTCATCAATATGTTTACCCTCCTGTAAGAATTTCCACTTCAATTTCCACTTCCCTTTGCTGTGCATGGCTTCACGTGCAATGCGTCACTGCTTCACTGGCTTAATTTTGTTTGCTCCCTAGCCAGCGCCCCTCCCATCTCTGCAGCCATTCCCAGACCCCCCCCCCCCAGGTGTTACATCACTGTCTCCACTCGTCTGAGCAGCTCGGGGAGGAATAAGGGAGGAGTAGAGGAGGGGAGGAGAAGGCTGAGGAGACTAAGATATGGGGGAGGCTGCGGGCCCTGGGGCAGTACCTGAGTGCCCGAGCGGTCAGTCCTGGTTCAGTCACTAATTGCGTTTACTGCCAGCGCCCCACCATCATGATTTCATAGCTCCCTTGTTACACCCTGCAGGGCAAAGTGGGTGACAACCCCATTACTGGTGACTAATGGGATGGTAGGGGCTGGTTGTAACCTATTATCTAATTAGCTTCTGGTAGGATTCTGTAATAGCAATTTTCAAAACCTCATAACAGCTTCCAGTTATGAGTTATGGATTAGAAAGCGAGATTAATAGTAGCTGGTTTTCTGCTGTGCATAAACTCTGACACTCTACACCCACCAAAACCAGTAGAACCATAAAATAACACAAATATGAATAACTTCCCCATATCTTATCATAGAACTAGCATGTTTGGAGCTAAACAATTCATCCTTGTAGAGCCAAAGGAAATCTCACCGCTCCAATTCCTTAGCCTCCATCAGGACTCCCCAGGTGCTGGTCTAATAGGTGCGTCTTCACCTTAGAATGCAGGAGTTCAGTCAATTCATCCTTGTGCCATCGCACTTTTAAAGACAGTTTTATCACAATGAGCTGTACCGAGTGGGAGTTATAAGATATTATCTTTCAGACATTTTGAAGACCGATATAAATATTTTGTCCCAAAGGCTAAGTGAGGATTTCACACTAGTCTGCTCATTTTTTAAATGTAGACATGTCTAGGATGTACAGGGAGAAAACGCACTGCTATGTGGACCTCTGCTGGGAAGGTATAGAGATTAAGCATTTGGCCAACCTTTCATGGTAATAAAAATGTTTTAAGTTTACACCTGGACTTCAGCAGGTGAGGGCTCTGCCAGGGTTCTATAATAACTGTGGCTTGGTTTGTATCAGAAAATCGCAGTCATCAATTCAGGGACAAAACTGCACTGAAAACACTTGTGGTGTTTAATAAAATGGTGGCTGAAGCCGCCATTTTGTTGGAGGCCACTACAGCTATCTGCTCTTCCCTTATTGTGAGCTCAGTGTAATCTGGCATTTTGAAACAGCACTACCATTGCCATAGAAACCCAGACATGGTCATCGTGACACCAGTATCATGCTGCCCATTCATCTTGTGCTCTAAAGTGAAAGCATTGCTGTGGTCATCCACCAAATGGCAGCCATTTTATTACAAATCACATACATTTTCATTACATAGCAGCACTTCTCCTCCCTTCCAGCTGGCTTATCTGCCCTCCAGGCAATTTACCTTCCCTTCAGCCAGTTAACTTCCCCTCTCATGCTCTTTCCTGTCTCTCTTCTCTCCTTCTGCTGGCACAGTTCTGAGGCTTAGCTATGCAGCAGTCAGTTCTGCTTGCTGTTGTAGGCACACTAATTGTGCAGCCTTACAGAGTCCTGGAGCTGTGGCAGCCCTAGAAGAGCAGAGGAACAGAAATCTGCTATTCATCCCGCCAGCTTTACCAGTGCCCACCCTGCTCTGTTACAGATCTGGCTGAGGAGAAGACAGCTGGAGCAGAAAGGAAACCTTGTCCCAGAATCCCCTCAGCTGGCTCTCTTCTTCCGGCTGATCAATCCTCAGAGCCAGTTAGCCAGGGCTTAAAAGATCTCAGTGACTCTGCAGTCATCTCAAATTCCCCCCACCCCACAGGCATTTCACCTCACCCTCTCAACAGATATCTATTCCCATCTGCAGTACCCCGCTTCCTGACACACATCTCTCCCCTGCAGCCTCAAACTGCTCAGGAAATCTTTCAGCAGCCACTTCACCCATTTCACCCTAGCCTAACAGACATCCCTGCCCGGCTCCTTAACCCTCTCACAGAATCACTGTGTCATCCCTAATCACTGTTCGCTGAAAGACATCTCTCTCTGACTGCTTCATCCTCATCTAACAGGCATCCTTCTGTGTATCCTCACATTTGTCCTCCATTATAAACTCTGAAATGTCTCTCTTGCACATACTGTACACAGTCATACCCTTTTCACTCCTTTTTTGTACACACGTCCTACCATCATACATACATCCTACATATATACACTCAGCAAAACAGTTCTTTCATATTGTTTGTAATATCCCCAACATTGCCAATTCTGGAACAGGCACACTTTTTTTTTTTTTTTTTTTTTTTTTATAAATTCTCTTTATAAATAGGCATACAGATATAAGGCAGGTGAAATCAACATCTCTTATCACATGGTGGTATAACTTAGCGACAGGCACACTTTTTAATGATGTAAGTTAAGAGGATAATGATTTTGTGTACTTAAACCTTAACTCTAGGCTAAATACCAGAAACGGCTAAATGCACAGATGAAATGCAATAAAGGGAGCTGTTATACTTGCCGAAGAAATTGTATTTGTGTACATCCAGTTCTGAGATTTAAGCAGCTTTGCCACGCCCGCCAGCACACCCTGTTGGCAGGGTAGCTAATGTTTTTCTGCTGCAATTCTCCCAACCTGTCACCAGATAGTAAAGGGAAAGGCAACAGACTGGTTATCTTATCTCTGTGCAACTTTGCTCACTCCTAAAAGCATGCATTTTGTACTGCAGCACATCTAATTGACTGCTTGTGCTGCTTTTCCTTCCCTCAGTCTGAGCTTTGCTGTACAAAGAGTGCAAGAAACTTAAACCAAACTAAATTCAGGTACTTGCATTTGAAAAACACTTTCATTATGTGCAAACGATTACATAACTGCAGAACTGTTCATATTTAAAATATAAAACAAGTGTTCTTTGTTCCTTCTAGGTGGAAAACTCTGGGGACCCATGGGACGATTTTCGAAACTCGCAGAGCATTTCCTATTGGGAATGTGTCTACTTGCTAATGGTTACCATGTCAACTGTGGGATATGGTGATGTTTATGCAAAAACGACCCTTGGCCGTCTCTTCATGGTCTTCTTCATTCTTGGTGGTTTGGTAAAAAAACTTAATTTGCCTAAGCAGTATCTCTTGTTTGCAATTATATAGAAACCTGCAGAGCATTGCAAACCATTTTGCGCATCTTAGCTACATAAAGAATAGATTTAAGTAAACATATGGACTCTAATTCAATTTCTGTATAAAACTGTAAAGTTAGAGTTCTACTCCATTTCACTTTTTTAGTATTTTGTTTCCCTGACACAACTTTGCAGGTGGCCACAATATACTAATTATTATGTTCACTATTAAAGCTATGGCATAATAAAAGTACAATTGGGGCCCCTAATTTGTGACTGTTTTTAGGTACCTATGTGAAAGAAAGTGAAGCACTAATGTCATAGTAAAAAAAAAAAAAACCTGACTTGTAACTCTAACTTAAGGTGAATGTGTCCTTTGTTCATGAACAATAAAGCAATAAGTTCATTAACTGCCATTCTCCATAGCTGCACGAACTTGCACATACGTGATGGAAACAGAGCTGAAGACTCTATATCCACCACCATTTAACAGCACTGGATGCACTTTTATTGTCACATGGGAGTAAGAGGAGAGAGTCACATGCTTCCTTTATCAGAAAGCACTAGGTTTTTCTCTTCACTCCCATGGACTGCATAGAGTTGTAGGAGAACAGAGGGAAAGTGAGGGTGTGCTGCTGGAGAGAGTGTTGGATTAGTGTTCCATCTTTTTCAATTGTATTTTTCTTAAAAAGATAAAATAAAATTCCAGAGGACAAATGCCATGCAGAACTTGGAACACAAGTAAATGTATCTCAGTACCAGAGTGCCTAAAGATACTCTTAAGAAATCTGTATTGAAAGAAACATCAAGGGTGCCATTGCTGACCCCTTCTTCTGAAAATACTTTGTGCCTGGCTATATGGTGCCTGACTATCTAGTAGCTTAAATACTTTCTGGCTAAGTCACTGACAGTGGATAGGTATGCTGACCAGGAGAGCTAACATCACTGCCTGAGTAATTGTTCCAGTTTTGTGACGCATAGTATTTAAGACCGAGAACGACAGGCCACTAGCATTCACAATATGAGCATACACTTTTGTTCTTCTCAGGCTTTATAAATGTCCTTTATTACAGTACTTGAGTAATTAGAACTAGTATTGTAAATTAACTCTCAAAATACTTAAATATTACTGAGCATCAATGCTACAATACTGACTAGACAGCCCGATATTTAATATGAAAAGATGCCCTTTTAAATTACATTCAAAGCAAATATTAATCATATAACCCATTTTTAACAGACTTCTTTTGGTGTAAAAGGTATGACTAAGGCAATTGGAGTAATTTGTTGTGTTAGCAAATACTTATTATTTTTAACTAAATTTGTAATGATTCAAATAATAGAAGCCATGGTGATTTGTTATGTGAATGTTATTCCACATTCCACAGTATTTTAAAACTCTGCCATGTTTATGTTATAACTGTACCGTTTGATGAGGTGTGATGCTCTGCAGGTTTTTTTAAAATAATATTATCTACACACATTTTTATAAAGGTTTGCTAAATTTAGGGGAGATTTACATCCATAGTGCTGTGTTCTGCTAATTAATATATTGGGGGTTTATCTGCTTTGAAAACCATTTATTTCAGATTGTTTTTGCCTTACAGTGGGAAGCCTCAATTTTTTAAATTTGTGTCTTATTTTTTAGAACACAGCAGTTTTTTTAGGTCTCTTTTAGCCCCCCTTGGCTTGTGAGTTGCTAGTATCTCATTAGCTGTGTACACAAGAGAGTATAGAAGACATGAGTATTGCCCAAACAAGCAGATGCTGGAGACTAGAAACTAGAAACCTTGGAGTTAGACGTTTTTAAGTTTCTTACAGTTTCTGCTGTTATTATTACTGTTTCATCACTTTTCACTTACCGATTCTTTGCTGAAGTTGACTTGGGTACTCTTGCTTGTCTGTTCAGTAAAGAAACAGTTAAGTAGGACATTGGGGCACTATATATTTTAAAAATATTTTGTATTTATTTTATGGTTTCAGTCTACTCCCTCTTTGCTTTTTACCCTTTTTTGTCATCCCTTGGACCCTAACTATTCCAACAAACAATATGAAATAACACTGGATCAAAGTGCATGCATGTTGAAGTTGCCTTAGAGAGCATTTGTCTTATCATGCTGACATTCAAAGTAAAACTTGAATTATTCCTGCATACTTTATTCAGTTTGATAATACTGCTTTTAGGTAGTCATATAGTTACCTAGTCACCAGTTAACATACACAAGGATACAGATACATAAACAGCTCACCTCCCTTTACTCGAGGTCTTGGCACCCTTCCACATATGCTTACTTCTGCAATACCACAAAATCAAATGTATGCTTCAGTCTTCCTACTCTACTTATTTTACCCTACAATTTGCCAGCCCCCGTTAGTCTTGAAATATTTTAAGTACATTTTGCGACCAATTGAAATCCACATTAGTGTATGATCAATATTAGTTTTTTTTTAAACTTTACCACAGTTCCTCATTGGGCTCCTGGCTCCTTACTCGGTGTACCATACTTCACCTCAATCTCTTTGTTGTCCTACCTCCTCCACTGTTCTGAAGTCTAAATCATTTCTTCTTCCCTCTCTTCTTATAAATCTCAGCACTAAGTTTTCCCTGTCTTCTAATCATACTACAGAGTATAATGCAGTGTACCGTTGTAGATTCACTACATTACCACTTCTTACACAATCAGTGGGAATTCCCATCTACATTGCTTGTGTAGAAACTGGTATTGCGATGAAGTGCAGCACTGTACTTTGAACAAGGAGCCCAGAAAGAAACTGTTTTACTAGTACTGCTATTTATTGTAGACATCTATGGATTTGCTCATTAACAAGACTTATTTAATTATTTTCACGGTTGAGGGTAGTTGGGAATAGGAGGTAAAATAAGTGGAATACCAAGACTGAAATGTTTTATTCATGTGGCAGTTGCCAGGTATGTTGCTGTAATTAAACACAGTGTGCGCCAGTTTCATTCAGATATCTAAGCTAGGAAAATGTTACTGCAACAATGCTATTGTAAATGTATTATGTTTAAAAGAGCCAGTAGAAATTAGATTCACTATCGGGTCTTTTCTGCCCGTGCATGCCCGCTAGGGGGCGCGCGCGAGCAGAAAAAAAATGCCCGCAGATGCAGCAGTGCCGTCCGTCCGTTTTTCTACTACGGGCGGACGGCAAGAGGTTAAAGAACTTCACTAACAGGGTTACTCACAAAAGGGTTAAGAGTTTGGAGAAGGCAGGAGAAGTGAACAATCTAGGCCAAAATAGCTGAACAGGAAAGTGAGCTGAATTAGAAATTTTTTACAAATCAGCTATGCTGTCCTACATTGTTCTCCTCTCCTGCCTTCTCCAAACTCTTCACCCTTTTGTGAATAACCCTGTAAATGTTTTATATAACTCTCAGCCACCTTATGTCTGTAGGACACTGTAAGTGAAACTTGTCTGGTCCTAACAAAATGGACCAAAAAAGACAGAGATTGTGGTGTTGCTCAAGTGAATTAGATGGAACATAAGTGTGCTAATTAGTTTTTATGGTTACAAGATATTGGCAGAAATGCTTATTTTATCCTAGCCTTCCTATGTAGTCTCCATTAGCTGACATTTTTTTTACATTTTACAAACTTCAGGTAGTAACATATAATTCTGAATCATTTGTAACCATTTAGTGTTGGGCACATTCATATGTGACATTATCTATGGTAGCAGCCTTTGACTGCAGTAGTTTAAATCATAAGTGTTTGTTGGACAAAACATGGCTGTGTATTTATGTGTATTTTTTTTTTTAGAATTAGAATAATCTACCCCTTTTTACCCCACTCACCCTATTGTGTGACCCTCCAAATAGCATTAGTTTTTGCAAACTTTGTGTCTGCTTGTATTAGTCTTATTTTAAATGTTTCCCCACCACTTCCCAAATCCACACATTTAAGGGACGTCTCCAATTTAAATTGGGATTTTTTATTACCTTTTTAAAAAAAAAAACTTTACATACATTTTGATTATGATAAATATGATTTGATTGGTAATTTTTATAGACAACTACTGGTTTTGGTTGACAGACCATAAGCCCTGTCTCCTTAAATGTATTTTATATATGTTAAATTGCCAGAGGTGTTTTTTATAGTGAATGTGGTTAATAAGTGAAGAAAAAAACATTAACTTCACATTAGAGGCCTGGAATTCATTGCAAAGAAACTTCAAGTTTTCACAGCTTTTCTATTTGCTGTCTACTGTTTTTTCTAAGATATCTGGGTGTATCTATGTGTCAGTTTTGTTACAGTGCCTTATGTTAAATATACACTACTGATGGTATTGTGTGTCCTTACTGTCTTGTTGATGTTGGGCAGATGTTTCTGTCGATGGACATAATCAGTTAATGGACACAATAATTAATGAACATATCATGTATTCTGACATGATTTGTACATATGTCTAGTGTTTATGGGAAGTTTCCAGGTAGTGATAAAGAAACCACCATTTACTTGTCAAACATAAAAATAATTCCCTGCATTTGTTAGCTATAAAACGCACATAGAAGCTGTACAATAATAGAACCGCCACTAGAAATTAGCAAATTAATCCTCCGAGTTAGAGATTGGACACAAATCAAAATGATTTCCAACAAGCAGACATCTCAAAATATTACCCAGTCTGCTACTGATCTTAAAAAACAAAAACAAATAGGTTTTACATAGATCACAGTTTGTGGCTGGTGTCCCCATAGTGGAAGGGTTACCCACATGCCAACAACCCTTTATAATAATACCATCTCATATGTCCTTCAGCCTCAGCACCGTTTAAAAAAGTCTGCCTTTTTATTACTGGTGTTCAAAGGTACCGAGTTTTTCTGTACTACAGTTGCCTAAGTGGTGCATAAATTAGGAGGCAAATTTACAGGCATTAGGATGTAGCAATGTGACCTGGTAAATTGTGAATCTCTTCACTGGTGGAATAGTAGAGCATTTCATTAAATTACTGTGTATTTAC